TTGAGACAGAGTCTCACTCTGTTGCCCAGGACGGAGTGCAGTGGCACGATTTGGCTCACTGCAACCTCCACCTCCCAGGTTCAAGCAGTTCTCCTGCCTCAGCCTCCTAAGTAGCTGGGATTACAGGCATGTGCCACCATGCCCAGCTAATTTTTGTATTTTTATTAGAGACAGGGTTTCACCATGTTGGTGAGGCTGGTCTCAAACTCCTGACCTGAAGTGATCCGCCCACCTTGGCCTCCCAAAGTGCTGGGATTACAGGCGTGAACCACCACGCCCAGTCTCTAGAGTATCTTTTTAAGAAATTCTCTCTTTAGGTTTTCTTTATAGCAATACAAATGTACTGTTGTTTTCGTATAAATCCTTTACTGGAATCTAGCCATTGAACCAATAAATATCAAAAACTGGAAAATTGCTGAAATATAAAATACCTGTATGTGTGTTACTGGACTCCTGTTTGCATAAGGAAAGGGAATGGATGAGGAACGAATGCAACAGGGGTAGGTTTTAATCTCAGAATGATGTCGGGAAATAAAACATTTGTTCAAACACTATCTTTTCATCCTCTGTGAAGAAGAACTTGGAAATGAGTATCCCCTTAAGTAACATTTATTTTCTAATCAGAAAGCACCTTTTATGCCTTTAAGGAATATATTCAACTGCTACAACCCTGGTGTCAAGTCAATGTTGGTTCCTGTCGATTTATGCTGGGAAGGTGTTACCTAGTTACAGGAGAAGGACAGAAGGTAAACTGCATTTAAATGGTAAATAAACATTAATGCAAGGAAGAGGCTTAGCTTCCATGTGACTAGGTTGTAGGGGATGGGAGACATAGAATCCTCTAGATAAAGTTAAAAAAGACTATATTAATGTCAGTGAAAGGCATGATATACATGTGAGGACTAGTCACTTTCTTGTATTCTGCAGTTTAGACAGGACTCAGGAACATAAGAAAACATTAGAACCCTCCTGCCCCTGTATGTTTTTAGGGATTCCTTTCATTATTATTTTTATTATTATTATTTTGTGGAGTCGGGGTCCACTAATGTCACTGTGTTACACAGACAGGCTGGATTCAAGCAATCCTCCCACCTTGGCCTCCACAGTGCCAGGATTACAGGCATAAGCCACCATATATGGCCAGGATACATTTTTTTTTTTTTTTTAACTAGTCAAGTGAAGCAATGGGAGTGGAGAAGGAACAAAGAAATCTGTAACTGGTTGTGATCAATTAGTTGTAAACACCACTGCACTTGGACCAGCCACAGGATACATTTTTATAAATCAAATTTATTTACTTATTTTATTATTTCTTTTAAGGTATCACTCTATCAGACTGGAGTGCAGTGGCATAATCATGGCTCACTGCTGCCTCAACCTCCTGGGCTCAAGCAATCCTCCCATGTCAGCCTGTCAAGTAGCTGGGACTACAGGCACACGCTACCATTCCTGGCTAATTTTTAAATTTTTTGTAGAGAGGGGCTTTCCCATGTTGCCCAGTCTGGTCACGAATTCCTGGGCTCAAGTGATCTGCCTGCCTCAGCCTCCCAAAGTGTTGGGACTACAGGCATGAGCCACTGTACCCAGCTGAAATTTATTTATTAATTACATTTTTTTATTGTCTTATGCTGCTTTTTTCTCATTATGGTAGTTTGCATTTTTAATTTTTTCCCTGATATTCTATTATTATGTAAATTTTCAAACAGAAAAGTTTAAAGACTTTTACAGTGAACAGTACATGCATAACACTCAAATTCTACAATTGTTAACATATTGCTGCAGTTGCTTTATTATGTATCTACATTATCAGTCATCTTATTAAAGTTTACTTTTTTTTTTTTTTTTGCAGGTGGGGGGCAGTGGGGGAGACAGTCTTGCTCTGTTACCCAGGCTGGAGGGCTGGAGTGCAGTGGCGCAATCTCGGCTCACTGCAGCCTCTGCCCACCAGGCTCAAGCAATTCTACTACCTCAGCTTCCTGAGTAACTGGGATTACAGGCATGCCCCACCAGGCCCACCTAATTTTTGTATTTTTAATAAAGGCGAGGTTTCACCATGTTGGCCAGGCTGATCTCAAACTTCTGACCTCAAGTAATCCACCTGCCTCGGCCTCCCAAAGTGCTGGGATTACAGGTGTGAGCCATTGCACCTGGCCAAGGTTTACTTTTTAATTGGTAGCATTTAAGTTAAATGTGAAATAAATGTTTTTAAATATTAAATAATGCATCACGTAGAATTCAAGATGTGTCAGAAACTATGAATATAATAGACCATGTTAAGCAATTTTGTTTCTTTTCTGGCTTTCCTTGTGTGTGAACCCCTGATCTATAGCACCTAGAATTGGAATGATCTGTCGTTTTAAGTCACTTTATATTTTATTTCTCCAGGCTCTGGAATGTTTTTGTCAGGCAGCATCTGAAGTAGGCAAAGAGGAATTTTTGGATCGCTTGATTCGCTCAGAGGATGGGGAGATCGTGTCTACCCCCAGGCTGCAGTATTATGACAAGGTACATTATGTCTTGGTTTGGGCTTTCTTAACACCACCCTGTGTAAAAACATATCTGAGTCTGGGGACAGCGGCTCACGCATTTAATCCCAGCACTTTGGGGAGACCAAGGTGGGAGGATCACAATCAGACAAAAACAATTGAACTTTTCAGGAATGCTATTTTAAAATATAAGTAAATGTACCTTGAGCCATCAAATGTCGGTTCAAGATAGTATAAAACCATAAACATTTTCAAAGCATTAAGCATTCCAGTCACTGTGGTGAAGTATAAGTCTGTTACAACCACTGTGTCTTTATCTATCATAATTCCAATTCTAAATATATCCAGAAAGATGTACATACTTCCAAAAGACATGTATAATTTTCTTCCAAGTAGCATGTTCCTACAAGTCATACACAGTCATGTATCACTTAGCAATGGGGAAATGTTCTGAGAAATGTGTCTTTGGATGATAGTATTATTGTGTGAACATCATAGAGTACGCTTACACAAGTAGACGGTATAGCTCACCACACACCTAGGCTGTATGTCACAGCCTATTTTGTAACATGTTACTGTACTGGATACTGTAGGCAATTTATAATGCAATGTTATTTGTATATGTAAACGTAGAAAAGTTATAGTAACACAGTATAAAAGATAAAAGGCCTGGTGTGATGGCTGACGCCTCCTTTGGGAGGCCAAGGTGCGTGGATTGACAGGCTCAGGAGTCTGAGACAAGCCTGGGCAACACGGTGAAACCCCGTCGCTGCTAAAATACAAAAAGTTAGCCAGATATGCACCTATAGTCCCAGCTACTCGGGGAACCTGGGAAGTGGAGGTTGCAGTGAGCCAAGATTGCACCACTGCCTTCCAGCCTGGGCAACAGAACAAGACTCTGTCTCCAAAAAAAAAAATATATATATATATGTATATATATATATATATATAATGGTACACCTGCATGGCGTACTTACCATGATTGAAGCTTGCAGGACTGGAAGTTGCTCTGAGTGAGTCAATGAGTGAGTGGTAAGTGAATACGGAGGCCTAGGACATTCCTGTACTGTGTAAACACTGTACACTTAGGCTACACTAAATTTAGTTGTTGGGGTTTTTTATTTATTTATTTATTTATTTTGAGACACCGTCTCACTGTGTTGCCCAGGGTAGTCTTAACTTTTTGGCTCTTTTGAATAACACTTACCTTAAAACACAAACACATTACACAGCTGTACCAAAGTTTTCTTTGGTTTGGGGTTTTTTGTTGTTGTTGTGTTTTTGTTTTTGTTTTTGACAGTCTCATTCTGACATCCAGGCTGGAGGGTTGTGGTACAAACAGCTCGCTGCAGCTTCAATGTCTTGGGCCCAAGCAATCCTCCCACCTCAACATCCCAAGTTGCTGGGACCATAGGTGCACACCACTATACCTAGCTAACTTTCTTTTTTGTAGAGATGGAGTCTAGCCATGTTGCTCAAACTGGTCTTGAACTCCTGAACTCTGCAGTCCTCCCAAAGTGCTGGGATTACCGGCGTGAACCATTGCCCCAGGCAGTTTTTTCTTTGTGTCTTTTTCTATTTAAAAAAAAAAATGGCAGCTGGGCACAGTGGCTCACACCTGCAATCCCAGCACTTTGGGAGACTGAGGCAGGCAGATCACTCGAGGTCAAAAATTCAAGACCAACCTGGCCAACATGGTGAAACTCCATCCCTACCAAAAAATGCAAAAATGGGTCTGGTGGTATGTGCCTATAGTTTCAGCTACTAGGGAGGTTGAGGTGGGAGAATTGCTTGAACCCAGGAGGCAGAGGTCACAATGAGCCAAGATCACACCACTGCACTCCAGCCTGGGTGACAGAGAGAGTGAAACCCTGTCTCAAAAAAAAAAAAAAAAAGTATTATGTATTGTATATAATTGTATATGCTATACCTTTTTTTTTTTTTTTTTTTTTTTTGGGGGGGTTGGAGTCTGTTGCCCAGGGGCTGGAGTACAGTGGCATGATCTTGGCTCACTGCAACCTCCACCTCCCAGCTTCAAGCAATTCTCCTGCCTCAGCCTCCCAAGAAATTGAGATTACAGGTGTACTCCACCAAACCCAGCTAATTTTTGTATTTTTAGTAGAGACGGGGTTTCACTATGTTGGCCAGACTGGTCTTGAACTCCTGACCTCAAGTGATTCGCCCTCCTCAGCCTCCCAAAGTGCTGGGATTACAGGCGTGAGCCACCACCGTGCCCAGCCATGCTATACTTTTTTTTTTTTTAACGGAGTTTCGCTCTTGTTACCCAGGCTGGAGTGCAATGGCGCGATCTCGGCTCACCGCAACCTCCGCCTCCTGGGTTCAGGCAATTTTCCTGCCTCAGCCTCCTGAGTAGCTGGGATTACAGGCACACGCCACCATGCCCAGCTAATTTTTTGTAGTTTTAGTAGAGACGGGGTTTCACCACGTTGACCGGGATGGTCTCGATCTCTTGACCTCGTGATCCACCCGCCTCGGCCTCCCAAAGTGCTGGGATTACAGGTGTGAGCCACCGCGCCCAGCCTCATGCTATACTTTTTATACAATTGGCAGCACAGTAGGTTTGTTTATACCAACGTCACCACAAACATGTGAGTAATACATTTTATTGCGGTGGCTATGTCACTAGAAGATAGAAATTTTTGAGGTCCGTTGCAATGGGTACAGTAGCTCACACCTATAATCCCAACACTTTGAGAGGCTAAGGTGGGAAAATCACTGGAGCCTAGGAATTTGAGATTAACCCAGACAACACAGGAAGACCCCCATCTCAACAAAAAAGTAAAAAATTAGCTGGGCATGGTGCTGCATGACTGTGGTCCCAGCTACTCAGGTGGCTGAGATGGAAGGATCACTTGAGTCCAGGAGGTTGAGGCTACACTGAGCTATGATCACACCACTGCACTCTAGCCTGGGCAACAGAGCAGGACCCTTTCTCAAAAAATAAAGTTAATAAAAATAATTTTCAAACTTTTTATCTTAGCTTCATCCTTTATAAACTTATATTTTGGGTGTAACATACATATATATTAGAAAATTGCATGTATATAAGATAGGGAAATGTGCACATTTAGGGGCACGTGCAGACGTTGATAGGGTGGACAACCAAAAATGTTTTTCAGGCTGGGCACGGTGGCTTACGCCTGTATTCCCAGCACCTTGGGAGGCCGAGGCAGGTGGATCACCTGAGGTCAGGGGCTCAAGACCAATCTGACCACCATGGCAAGACCCCTAAAAACACACAAATTAGCCAGGCATGGTGGCATATGCCTGTAATCCCAGCTACTTGGGAGGCTGAAGCAGGAGAATCACTTGAACCCAGGAGGTGGAGGTTACAATGAGCCAAGATCGCACCATTGCACTCAAGCCTGATTGGCAGAGTGAGACCCTGTCTCAAAACAAAAGGATTATATCAATCATTTAGCAAATTCTCTTTAGGGTTTTTATAAAACTGTGGTGTTCATTTATTTGCTATTCTTTACATTCATTTGTGACCTGAACAGTTAGTAGTGAAATTATATTTATTCTTACGTTCAACAATTTTTTTTAATAGAGATGGGGTCTCACTATGTTGGTCAGGATGACAGGCATGAGCCACCATACCCAGGCTCAACAAGTATTTATGGAGAGACTACTGTATACTGGGCACTGAGGATAGAGCTCTGAATTTTAAAAGGAAAATTCAGGCTGGACACCGTTGGCTCACACCTGTAAACCCAACACTTTAGGAGGCCAAGGCAGGAGGATCACTTGAGCCCAGGAGTTAGAGGCCAGCCTGGGCAATATAGTGAGACCTCATCTCTACAAACAATAGAAAAAAATAGCTGTGTCTGGTGACATGCACCTGTAGTTTCAGCTACTTAGGATGCTGAGGCAGGAGGGTCACTTGAGCCTGGGAGGTTGAGGCTGCAATGAGCTATGATCGTGCCACTGCACTCCAGCCTGGGCGACAGGGTGAGACCATCTCAAAAAAGAAAAAACAGTTCCCTGCCCCCATGGTGCTTACATTCAGGTAAGGAAAGAAGCTAGACAAGTAAATGTAAGTGATATGTTCTCTGACTAAAACAAACAGATCAAGAGAATAGAGTAGGAAATATTCAGCTTGTTATGACATTATCTTGGGAACTATATAGTGGTAAGCTTTGGAGTCTGGATGCTAAGGTTTGAATCTTAGGTCTCCCAACTGTGTGACCTTGAGCAAGTTACTCTGCACCTCAGAGTCTTCATCTGTAAAATCCTCATCAGATTGCTAGGGGAGTGAATATATTAACTACGAAGTGTGAAGCCATGCCTGGCTGGTGGTAGGCCTTCAGTATTCAGAGAGCATTTCTTTTTTTTTTTTTTTTTTTTTTTTTGAGACGGAGTTTCGCTCTTGTTACCCAGGCTGGAGTGCAATGGCACGATCTCGGCTCACCGCAACCTCCGCCTCCTGGGTTCAGGCAATTCTCCTGCCTCAGCCTCCTGAGTAGCTGGGATTACAGGCATGCACCACCATGCCCAGCTAATTTTTTGTAGTTTTAGTAGAGGCGGGGTTTCACCATGTTGACCAGGATGGTCTCGATCTCTTGACCTCGTGATCCACCCACCTCGGCCTCCCAAAGTGCTGGGATTACAGGCTTGAGCCACCGCGCCCGGCCCAGAGAGCATTTCTTTACACCCCCCCCAACTTGAATTGAATGCATGCATATATTAGTACATAAACATATTAATGACTTTGGGGGCCATTTTATTACTTTGTAACACTGTCAAAAGGAAAGGACAACGAAAAGCCTTGTATTTAATTCCTCTATTGTTTATTAATAGTCGTTCCTGTAAAAGTTCTGTATAGAACATGTTAGAATTCTCTCTTAATTTCAACTATCCCTGTTCCTACCTAACACTAGCAATCACAATTTATCTATAATTAGAGAGCTATTATGCCAATGGTAATATCTGGGGAAATGAATAGAAAGCTTTTACAAGATGGAACATAACAGAATAATCTAAAGCAAAATCTTAAATATTAACCAAATAGTCCTGTCCATCTTGTCAGCACCTTTGATTTAAACTTTATCTTACCTTGTTACCTTTTTAAAAAATATTTTTATTTATTTTTTAAGAGACAGGGTCTTGCTGTATTACCCAGGTTAAATTGCAGTGGCAGGATTAAAACTCACTGCAACCTTGAATTCCTGGGTTCAAGCAATCCTCCCACCTCAGCCTCCCAAGTCGCACCAACTACAGGTGCATGCCACCAAGTGCAGCTAATTTTTTAAAAAAATTTTTGTGGAGATGGGGGTGTTACTATGTTGCCCAGGCTGGCCTTGAGCAATCCTGCTGTCCCAGCCTCCAAAGTACTGGGATTATAGGTGTGAGCCACCATGCTGGCCTACTTACCTTTCTAAATAATTTTAAACCATAATTTAGTTTGAAGTGCATTACCATATTAACTTTAACAGAAATTTCTTCTGTTTCTCGTTAGGTTTTACGACTACTAGATGTTGTTGGTTTGCCTGAACTGGTTATTCAGTTGGCTACATCAGCCATAACTGAAGCAGGTGATGACTGGAAAAGTCAGGTAAGAATTGACAATAATTTGGTTGTTTTCTTTAAGGTTTGTTGTAGGTGTGGTATGTCCATTTCTATTGCTTTTTTTGATATTTGATCTACATTTGATATTTAGGCTACTCTAAGGACATGCATTTTCAAACATCATTTGGATTTGGGTCACAATAGCCAAGCGTATGAAGCCTTAACCCAAATTTCTGATTCCAGCAGGTAATCTCATGGTCTTTTTTAGAGAAGACAATTTACCAATTCTGTTTAACCTACTAAGACCGTTTGCCCTCATATCCGTTTCTTTCCTTCTAGGCAATTAGATTGTTTACGGCAGTTGGTGGTAGTTCTTTGTGAACGCTCACAGCTACAGGATCTTGTAGAGTTTCCTTATGTAAATCTGCATAATGAGGTAATTTTAGTTATCTAGTGATGGCTTTCAATAACTATGGTGGCTGCCATGATTGCTACTGACTTAGTTATCTGATTGCTTCCCCTTCCCTAGGTTGTGGGAATAATTGAGTCACGTGCTAGAGCCGTGGACCTTATGACTCACAATTACTATGAACTTCTGTATGCCTTTCACATCTATCGCCACAATTATCGCAAGGGTGAGCAATGTAACCAAACGGTATCTTGGAGACAACCTTATTAATCATGTTTTACCAAAATATTGTGAGTTAGACTTAGGTAATTTTTAATATGTGTTTAAGTACAAGATTAGCTTAAACCTTTTGAGGATTACCTTGAAGATATGCCCTTGCTTCCATTCTAGGACTTTCTCAAGGCATTGCCATTGAAACGGCATTCTATGTGTATCTTCTGTCCAATTATAAAGGAAATGAGTGCCACACCTGGTGGCTTATGCCTTTAATCCTAGCACTTTGGGAGGCCGAGGCAGGTGGATCACCTGAGGTCAGGAGTTCAAGACTAGCCTGACCAACATGGCAAAACCCCGTCTCTACTAAAAATCCAAAACTTAGCTGGGCATGGTGGCAGGTGCCTATAATCCCAGCTACTCAGGAGGCTGAGCCAGGAGAATTGCTTGAACCCAGGGGGCGGAGGTTGCAGTGAGACAAGGTTGCACCACATCACTCTAGCCTGGGTGAAAGAGTGAAACTCTGTCTCAAAAGAAAAAAAAAGGGAAATTAGCTTTTTCACTAGAAACAGCACGAATTTTTATGACTAGTTTGGAGTTCTTGTGCTATTTTACCACTGGCCTTCTCTCTTTCCTCATTTCAGTTCTTAGAGCAAAATTCTGACTGCTTAAATGTGCTTAGATCATAAATATATAGTAGATGATATTCCTTGTTAGCTATGGTTATATTGTTCCACATCCCTCCAATTAAATGTAAAATCCTTAAAGAGGGGACTGCAATTTACATTTACGGCCGGGCACAGTGGTGGGACACAGATTACAACCACGCCTGTAATCTCAGCACTTTGGGAGGCTGAGGTGGGTGGATCACTTAATGTCAGGAGATCGAGACCAGCCTGGGCAACATGGTGAAACTCCCTCTCTACTGAAAATATAAAAATTAGCCAGGCGTGGTGACACGTGCCTGTAGTCCCAGCTACTTGTAAGGCTGAGGCAAGAGAACTGCTTGATCCTGGGAAGTGGAGGTTGCAGTGAGTCAAGATCATGCTACTACACTTCAGCCTGGGTGACAAAGCAAGACCTTGTCTCAAAAAAAAAAAAAATCTACAGTTAGAAGTTATCAAATGATATCCTGGTGAATTCTTTTTTTCTTCATTCATTTTGTTTGTTTGTTTGTTTTGAGACAGAGTCTCACTCTGTTGCCTGGGCTGGAGTTTATTTTGGCACAATCTCAGCTCACTGCAACCTCTGCCTCCCAGTTTCAAGTGATTCTCCTTCCTCAGACTCCCGAGTAGCTGGGACTTCGGGCATGCGCCACCACATCCAGCTAATTTTTTTGAATTTTTTAGTAGAGTTGGGGGGGATGGGGTTCGCCATGTTGGTCAGACTGGTCTTGAACTCATGACCTCAGCTTCCCAAAGTGCTGGGATTACAGGCATGCACAACCATGCCTGGCTAATTTTTTTTTTTTTTTTTTTTTTTTTTTATAATAGAGATGGGATTTTGCCATGTTAGCCAGCTGGTCTCAAACTCTTGACCCCAGGTGACCCACCTGTCTCAGCCTACAAAAGTGCTGGGATTACAGGCGTGAGCCACCGTGCCCAACCAAGAATTTGTGTTTTTTTGTTGTTGTTTTGTTTTTTGGTTTTTGGCTTTTTTTTAGAGATGAGTTCTCGCCATGTTGCCCAAGCTGGAGTGCAGTGGCTGTTCACAGGCACGATCCCACTACTGATCAGCACGGGAGTTTTGACCTGCTCCATTTCCGACCTGGGCCAGTTCCCTCCTTGGGCAACCTGGTGGTCCCCTGCTCCTGGGAGGTCATCATATTGATGCCGAACTTAGTGCAGACACCCAATCGGCATAATGCACTACAGCCCAGAACTCCTGGGCTCAAGCGATCCTCCCACTTCAGCCTCCTGTATAGCTGGGACTATAGGCACAAGCCACCGTGCCCTGCGAAATTATGTTCTTATGCAGAGTATCCAGACATCTCTCGGTCTCACAGTCCTGAGCAGGTATAGGTGACTAGTTCTATAAGCTAGTATTCTGTACTTGTTATGATAATGTAGTATCTTAAATATCAAAAATAACATTTTTCTTTTTTTTTTTTGTTTTAATTGTGGTAAAATGCACATAACATACAATATATCATCTTAACCTTTTTTAAGTGTACAGTTCAGGAGTGTTAAGTGCATGCACAATATTTTGTAACCAGTCTCCAGAACACTTTTCATCTTGGAAAACTGAAGCTCTGTACCCATTAAACAACTACGCCCTGTTTCTCCCATCCCCCACCCCCTGAGAACCACCATCTTACCTCCCATCTTTATGAATTTGGCTACTTGAATCACACAGCATGTGTCTTTTTGTGACAGGCGTATTTCACTCAGCATACTGTCTTCAAGGATCATCCTTGTAGTGGCATGCGTCAGAATTTTCTTCCTTAAAGTTATCTTAAAAGATTAGCCAGGTGTGGTGGCAGTCACCTATAATCCCCACTTGGGGGCCTGAGGCAGGAGGATCATTTGAAGCAGAGGTTGTGGTGAGCGGAGACTGCACCATTGCACTCTAACCTGGGCAACAAGAACAAAACTCCATCTCAAGAAAAAAAAAGATAGTCTCAAAGATAACGAAATGATTTTCTGTTATATTTAAATGTCAGATTTTGTTCATCCATCAGTGAACACTTGGATTGCTTCTCCCTTTTGGCTATGGAAAATGATGCTATGAACAGGGGTGTGGAAATACCTCTTCGAGACCCTTTTTTTTAATTCTTTGGGGTATATACCAAAAAATGGAACTACTGAATTATATGATAATTTCGCTTTTAATTTTTTGAGAAACTGCCATTCTGTTTTCCATAGCTGCTGCACCATTTTACGTTCCCAGCAACAGTGCACAAGGATTCCAGTTTCTCCACATCCCCACCATGTGATTTTTTTGGGGGGTGAGGAGGGGTTACATTAAGCCCAATTTTTTTAAAATTTTAACATTTGATTAGGGATAGCATTCTCTCTGTATATCTCTAGAGAAACAAATTTTGGAAGGGCAGTGTGGTAATCCCAGCACTTTGGGAGGCCGAGGCAGGTGGATCAGAAAGTCAGGCGTTTGAGACCAACCTTGCCAACATGGTGAAGCCCTGTCTCCACTAAAAATACAAAAATTAGCCAAGCATTGTAGTCGTGGGCCTGTAATCCCAGCTACTCAGGAGGCTGAGGCAGGAGAATCACTTGAACCTGGGAGGTGGAGGTTGCAGTGAGCTGAGGCCACACCACTGCACTCCTGCCTGGGCAACAGAGCAAGACTCCAGCTCAAAAAAAAGAGAGAGAAACAAATTTTGGAAGTTCTAATACCTAATTTATTACCGCCTCATAGCTGGCACAGTGATGTTTGAGTATGGAATGCGTCTTGGCAGAGAAGTTCGAACTCTCTGGGGACTTGAAAAACAAGGCAACTGTTATCTGGCTGCTCTCAACTGTTTACGACTTATTCGTCCAGAATATGCATGGATTGTGCAGCCAGCATCTGGTGCAGTGGTATGAAAACTTCTCATCCTGGAATTTTGGGGTCATTAAATCTACTTGTTTTGGTCCTTTCAAAACTATTACATCATTTTGCTTCATTTGATTCAATTTGATATTTGTGGGAAAAAAAAAATCTATGTTTATAACAATTCAATTGTTGTATATTATTACCCCTTTAGTTCTCAAGTTTAGAATTATTGTAGGAAGAAATATTCCAGAGTAATCTTGGAGTTAGACAGACCTGACCCAATTCAGACAAGTTATTTAATCTTTTATTCAGTTACTCTCTGGTATAAAATATGGATAATATCTACTTTATAGGATTGTTTGGGTAATAATAAGGTAATTCCAGTCAGTTGCTTAGAATGGTAACAGTGCTTGGCCCACAAAATGTGCTAAGTAAATGGTAGCTGCTTTTATTTCTATTGTGTTTGTTAATGCAGTCTACAGTTGTTGTTTTAAAGGACACACACTTTGAGTTTTCCTATCATACTGATGGGTCAGATACACGCAGTTGCTTCTGTTATATATAACTCTGGAACCAAGGAAAATTCATTGATTTACATGGAGGTAAAAATCCCCGTCCTTGGACTCAGTAATATGTTATAGTTAAGTTTGCAACTTGGCAAAGAACTTTCTTTGTCTCGTAAGAACTCTGCTGGTTGGAAAAAACTCTGAATCACAGTTAATGATATCAAAATAAAATACTGATTTTCACAGTTAAATTGCTTGTTTTGTTTTATCAGTATGATCGCCCTGGAACATCACCTAAGAGGAATCATGATGGAGAATGCACAGCTGCCCCCAGTGAGTCCAGAGTCTCACACTAATCTTTACTAGACAGTAATATATTGTTATTGATAGTTATGATAGAAATGTGTAGTTAAGCCGGGAACAGTGGCTAATGCCTGTAATCCTAGCACTTTGGGAAGCCAAGGTGGGCGGATCATGAGGTCAGGAGATTGAGACCATCTGGCCAACATGGTGAAACCCCATCTCTATTTTAAAAATACAAAAAATTAGCGGGGTGTGAGTAGCGTGTGTCTGTAATCCCAGCTACTCCGGAGCCTGAGATGGGAGAATCACTTGAACCTGGGAGGTGGAGCTTACAGTGAGCCGAGATTGTGCCACTGCACTCCAGCCTGAATGACAAAGTGAGACTCCATCTCAAAAAAAAAAAAAGTTAGGCCGGGCGCGGTGGCTCAAGCCTGTAATCCCAGCACTTTGGGAGGCCGAGGCGGGTGAATCACGAGGTCAAGAGATCGAGACCATCCTGGTCAACATGGTGAAACCCCGTCTCTACTAAAAATACAAAAACATTAGCTGGGCATGGTGGCGCGTGCCTGTAATCCCCGCTACTGAGGAAGTTGAGGCAGGAGAATTGCCTGAACCCAGGAGGCGGAGGTTGCGGTGAGCCGAGATTGTGCCATTGCACTCCAGCCTGGGTAACAAGAGTGAAACTCCGTCTCAAAAAAAAAAAAAAAGTTGGCTGAGCACAGTGGCTCATGTGTGTAATCCCAGCACTTTGGGAGGCCAAGGCAGGTGGATCATTTGAGGTCAGGAGTTTGAGACCACCCTGGCCAATATGGTGAAACCCCATCTCTACTAAAAGTAGAAAAATTAGCTGGGCACAGTGGCTCACACCTGTAATCCCAGCACTTTGGGAGGCCAAGGTGGGCGATTCACCCAAATTCAGGAGCTCAAGACCAGCCTGACCAACATGGAGAAACCCCATCTCTACTAAAAATACAAAACTAGCCAGGCGTGATGGCATGCACCTGTAATCCCAGCTACTTGGGAGGCTGAGGCAGAAGAATCACTTGAACTCGGTAGGCAGAGGTTGCACTGAGCCAAGATTGCTCCATTGCACTCTGCCAAGATTGCTCCATTGCACTCCAGCTTGGACAAAAAAATTTTTTTAGGCCGGGCACAGTGGCTCATGCCTGTAATTCCAGCCCTTTGGGAGGCCAAGATGGGTGGATCACCTGAGGTCAGGAGTTCAAGACCAGGCTGGCCAACATGGTGAAACCGCATGTCTACTAAAAATACAAACATTAGCTGGGCATGATAGTGCCGCCTGTAATCCCAGCTACCCGGGAAGCTGAGGCAGGAGAATCACGTGAACCCAGGAGGCGGAGGCTCCAGTGAACCGAGATCATGCCACTGCACTCCAGCCTGGGTGACAGAGCAAGGCTCCGTTTCCAAGGGAAAAAAAATGTTTGAAATTACATGTAGTACCTTAAAATACTTTGATTTGACTTGGGCTATTGCTTAATTTGTTTAAGTTAGCATTTATTGAGTTCCCTGTTTTCTCCTTCCTTCATGCATTTAGAAATTAGATTGAATGTTACTTAATGTTCAGTGGAAATTTACAGGTTGAGTTAATCTATTGGATACTTCTTTGCTCCTTGGGAATTGAAAATATTTTTCTTTGATGTATATAGCAAATCGACAGATTGAAATTCTGGAACTGGAAGATCTGGAGAAAGAGTGTTCCTTGGCTCGCATCCGCCTCACTTTAGCTCAGCATGATCCATCAGCAGTTGCAGTTGCCGGTAGGAATTCAGAGTTAAAGCCTCTAACCTGTCAGTGCCAATGGCACATTTTAGGTCCAGGCAGTGTATGTAGCATACTAGATCAACATAAAGCATGGGCTGTTACTCAGAGATACTCATCATCAACCATGCAAAATCTTTGGTTTTATTTGTGTATACCTTGGCTGCACTAAATAACCTTTTTCCATTTTCACAGGAAGTGCATCAGCAGAGGAGATGGTCACTCTCTTGGTTCAGGCGGGCCTCTTTGACACTGCCATATCACTTTGTCAGACTTTTAAGCTTCCCTTAACGCCAGTCTTTGAAGGGCTTGCGTTCAAGTATGTATAAAATTATCTTTTTATACTCTTTTCTAATGCAAATATATTATCCTCTTGTTTGGTGCAAAGCAGTCATCATAAGCCAAGTAGCCTATATATCATTTGTGGTTTGAAGAAGAATTTTTGTTTAAATCCATGAAGTGATTTTTTAAAAATTTTAGCCGTTTATGATTTTACTTTAAAGAAAAAAATCTTGATTTGTAGTTTCTTTTGAGAACTCAGAAGAGCAGATAACCTGAGTTAAAGGATGGTGTTCATTCCAAACAAGACATATGTTCTGTTTGGTTCTTTTGGACATCTGTTGGTCTCTCTAAACATTGTTTCTTTTTTTTTATTTTTTTATTTTTTATTTTTTATTTTTTTTTGAGACGGAGTCTCACTCTGTTGCCCAGGCTGGAATGCAGTGGCACAATCTTGGCTCCACCTCCTGGGTTCAAGCGATTCTCCTGCCTCAGCCTCCCAAGTGGCTGAGATTACAAGCAAGCACCATGACACTCGGCTAATTTTCTATTTTTAATAGAGATGGGGTTTCTCCATGTTGGTCAGGCTGGTCTCGAACTCCCAACCTCAGGTGATCCGCCTGACTCCGCCTCCCAAAGTGCTGGGATTACTAAAGGTGTGGGACTCCATCTTAGTTTAAAAAAAGAAAGAAAAGCGTTTTTTAATCATTAATTTTCTCTTGGAAGTAAATTATGGTTTTTTTTGTTTGTTGTTTGTTTTTTTTGAGATGGAGTTTTGCTCTCGTTACCCAGGCTGGAGTGCAATGGCGCGATCTCGGCTCACCGCAACCTCCGCCTCCTGGGTTCAGGCAATTCTCCTGCCTCAGCCTCCTGAGTAGCTGGGATTACAGGCACGCGCCACCATGCCCAGCTGATTTTTTGTATTTTTAGTAGAGACGGGGTTTCACCATGTTGACCAGGATGGTCTCGATCTCTTGACCTCGTGATCCACCCGCCTCGGCCTCCCAAAGTGCTGGGATTACAGGTGTGAGCCACCATGCCTGGCTAAATTATCTCTTAATGCTTACTCATGTCCTTGTAGGTATTCAGTTGTGTGACTTGAGGAAGAGAAGAGCCAATACTCCAGTAGTGAATTCAGCAATAGAGATGAAGTTGTCATCTCACCTCTTTAATTTTAGTAGCAAAATAAGGTGGTACATTTCAGCGTTTAGTTTTCAAGTGTGGAACCGTTTTCATTCCAGATGCATCAAATTGCAATTTGGAGGAGAGGCAGCACAAGGAGAAGCCTGGGCCTGGCTAGCAGCCAATCAGCTCTCATCTGTCATCACCACTAAGGAGTCTAGGTACAGCCCTGGTGTTCCTCCAACCCTGGGTGGTTTTTCCTTTTTCAAAGCTGTAGCCGTCTTTTTCTGATTAAATTATCCTACATAGATCATTTCACTTTTTTCTTTCTTTTTGGCTAAGTTTTTATAGGGGCTGGGAAGTTTATAATTAGGGCAACATCATGTCATTTATTGTCCAAACTAGGATGTCTTTGCCTATGAAATGTCTCCTCTGTATTCCCCTCCTCAAAGACTTATTGTATCATATCATCAGGAAAAGGTACTCTTACAGGCAAAAATCTATATTTACTTGGTTTCAGAATGTTACTTCCTTTTCTCCCATTTCTTCCATTGAGCAGTTCTGCATGGTTTCATCAGTGTCCTCTTACAGCTTGTCTCCAGCTGCTGTTCAGCAGTCTGTCACCCATCATCCACAGTACTTTATTTGTTTTTTTTTTTTGAGACGGAGTCTCACTCTGATGCCCAGGCTGGAGGGCAGTGGCGCAATCTCTGCTCACTGCAACCTCTGTCTCCCAGGCTCAAATACTTCGCCTGCCTCAGCCTCCTGAGTAGCTGGGACTACAGGTTCATGACACCATGCCCAGCTAATTTTTGTATTTTTAGTAGAGACAGGGTTTCACCATGTTTGTCAGACTGGTCTTGAACTCCTGATCTCGTAATCCATCCACCTCGGCCTCCCAAAGTGCGGGGATTACAGGCATGAGCCACCACACCCAGCCCAATACCTTCCTCAGATTTCCTCTGTTCATATACTTCCCCAGTGCATCCACTTACTATCGATGTAAATATACTTCAGCTTCTTCAGAAACCTTCTCTAACATCCCAAACCCTCAGTAAACTTCCCTTTCTGAACTGCATTTGCACTTTGTATTATACAGCTTAGCACTTTAGCATGATAGCATTTTAGAATTTGGAAGTTTGCTGACATTAGTTTTCAACCTCTAACGTAGCACATCAGAATAACTTATTAAAATACAGATTATGAGACATCACCCTAGTCTTCTGAGTTAGAACTTCTGTGTAATTCTAATGCTTGATCAAGTTTGAGATCCAGTGTTCTGAACCAGTTTCCTGTTTTAGAAATACAGAAAGAAAGGAGTTAAATGAATTATATATATTCATAGCCAACCAAATACGTAATTAGTGGGAGAGGAATATGTGAACCCAAGTTACCTAGTTTCTAGTACTGTCCCCCTAAGTCACATTAGCCCAAATAATATTTGTTCCCGTTTAGCTATATTATTGATTCAGTTGTGAATTTCTAAAGTTTTCTTTGTAAGGCCAGGCATGGTGACTCCCGCCTGTAATCCCAACACATTTTTTTTTTTTTTTTTTTTTTTTTTTTTTTTTTTTTTTTTTTTTTTGAGACGGAGTTTCGCTCTTGTTGCCCAGGCTGGAGTGCAATGGCGCGATCTCGGCTCACCGCAACCTCCGCCTCCTGGGTTCAGGCAATTCTCCTGCCTCAGCCTCCTGAGTAGCTGGGATTACAGGCACACGCCACCATGCCCAGCTGATGTTTTTGTAGTTTTTAGTAGAGACGGGGTTTCACCATGTTGACCAGGATGGTCTCGATCTGTTGACCTCGTGATCCACCCGCCTTGGCCTCCCAAAGTGCTGGGATTACAGGCTTGAGCCACCGCGCCCGGCCCAATCCCAACACTTTGTGAGGATGAGGCAGGAGGATCACTTTAGCTCAGGAGTTCAATACCAGCTCAGGCAACATAGCAAGTCCTTGTCTCTACAAAATTTAAACAAAATTAGCCAGGCGTGATAGCCCATGCCTGTATTCCCAGCTACTCAGGAAGCTGAAATGGGAGAATCTGGAGCTGAGGCTGCAGTGAGCTGAAATCACACCATTGCACTCCAGCCTGGGTGACAGAGCAAGACCCTGTCTCAAAAAAATGTTTTCTTGTAAATACATGCTTCGAATGGTATTCTAAATAGCTCTTAAGAATGTGAAACTTATTAGTCATTTTTTGTTTTTTCAAGTGCTACAGATGAAGCATGGCGACTATTATCAACTTACCTGGAAAGGTACAAAGTCCAGAATAACTTGTATCACCACTGTGTAATCAACAAGCTCTTATCTCATGGAGTGCCTCTGCCTAATTGGCTTATAAACAGCTACAAGGTAAGTGGATCATAACCTTTACTCTTTATCATTCTAGATAACTTCATGAGATGACTAAAAAGAGGACAGGCGTGTGATATCTCACACCTGTAGTCCCAGCACTTTGGGAGGCTGAGGTGGGCGGATAACCTGAGGTTGGGAGTTCAAGACCAGCCTGACCAACATAGAGAAACCCCATCTCTACTAAGAATACAAAATCAGGCTGGGCACAGTGGCTCATGCCTCCCAACACTTTAGGAGGCCAAGGCAGGCGGATCATGAGGTCAAGAGATGGAGACCATCCCAGCCAACATGGTGAAACCCTGTCTCTACTAAAATACAAAAATTAGTGGCGCACACCTGTAGTTGCAGCTACTCGGGAGGCTAAGGCAGGAAAATTGCTTGAACCCGGGAGGCGGAGGTTGCAATGAGCTGAGATTGCGCCACTGCACTCCAGCCTGGCACCTGGCGACAGAGCAAGTCTCTGTCTCAAAAAAAAAAAAAAAAAAAAAAATCGGCCGGGCGCGGTGGCTCACGCCTGTAATCCCAGCACTTTGGGAGGCCGAGGCGGGTGGATCACGAGGTCAAGAGATCGAGACCACCCTGGTCAACACGGTGAAACCCCGTCTCTACTAAAGCTACAAAAAAAAAATTAGCTGGGCATGGTGGCGCGTGCCTGTAATCCCAGCTACTCAGGAGGCTGAGGCAGGAGAATTGCCTGAACCCAGGAGGCAGAGGTTGCGGTGAGCCGAGATCACGCCATTGCACTCCAGCCTGGGTAACAAGAGCGAAAACTCCATCTCAAAAAAAAAAAAAAAAAAAAAAAAAAAA